AAAAACCAAAAAAAAAAAAAAAAAAAATTACATTTATTTATATATTTTGGATGCGTATATGTATGGGTGCCATGACACATATGTGGAGGCGAGGGACAGCTTGAAGGAATTGGCTTTTCTTCTACCATTTAGGTCTTGGGGATTGAACTCAGGTGTCACCGGTCTTGGCAGCAGGCACCTTTACCCACTGAGCCCTCTTGCAGGCCCTCTATTTTTTATTTATTTATTTATTTATTTTCCTTTTTTTTTTTTTTTAGGCCCTCTATTTTTATACAGACAGATTTTTGTCATATAGTACTTTCCAACTTAAGACTTTTCTGTAGACTTTTGAAAAGAGCAAATGTGATTTTTTTTTTAATGGAAAATTAGACAGACTGAGTCTTTTCATGGTTGATTTAACTAAAGGAAATGGAATTGCTAGAGCAATAAAAAAAGTGGACAAATTAAACCAAAAGTTATAATTTTTATCTCATTTTATATAAACATAGTTCTTACACACTAGACTTCCAGAAACTGTTCTCCCCTGCTGTCAATTGAAATTTTTCATCCTCGCCAGTCCAGGCACAGGTGGGCTCTTATGTAAGGCTAGTTAGAGCCAGGGGCAAAGCCAGACAAGGTTGATGCTCTTCCCTATTTTTTTCTAGGACATTGATGCTTTTGAAGAGGATCTAGTAAATGATGCTGATTAGCCTGAATCTACCCTTTTTTAATTGGATCTATTTTAAAATTTTTATTTATTTTTTATTTATTCATTTATTTTGGTTTTTCAGGGCAGGGTTCTCTGTGTAGCCCAGGCTGACCTTGAACTCACTGAGATCTGCCTGCCTCTACCTCCCAAGTGCTGGGATTAAAGGCATGCGACACCATGACCCAGCTCTTTATATGCCTTTTAATCTGAAATTCTTAGCCTTTCTTATGAAAATGAGTATTTTTGTTGTTTTGTTTTACTTCTATAAAAAATGTGTCATTATTTGGTTTTATCTCATGTTGTATGCTTTTAACTCATAGTAGAGGGAACCACCAGACCTGCCTTCCTAACCTTTCACTTTGCTGAGTTCTTCATACTGGGCTGTCCCCATGGTGCCATCTCCTGACACCAAGGAGCTATCCATCAAGCCAGCATGAGTTGCTTGTATATAATTGTAACAATTCCATGATATTCCCAGTTGGCTGAATACTAGTTTCAAACTGACTTTTAAGATACGTAGTTCTAACACCTTTTTCATCATAGAATCTTGATCAAAGTGTATGGGGGGAGTAACCAATCTGGTGATATTTTCTCCCAGGATAGGGAAGTGGTAGTTTTTTTCCTTTAAAATCTATTATTAAGAGAATTTTTAAAATTTTAGTTTGGTACTCCTCTGGAATCCTTAGTAGCTCCAAAGGTGCCCAAAATATATATATAAAAAAAAGCCAGGCCGGGCGGTGGTGGCGCACGCCTTTAATCCCAGCACTCGGGAGGCAGAGCCAGGTGGATCTCTGTGAGTTTGAAGCCAGCCTGGTCTCCAAA